TGTAAAAAGGGAATGGAGGCGCTGGTTAGTAGAATTATAATTTCAAAAGAGTTTTCTTTCTGTTATTGTCATAGATTAGGGGTTGCACATTCAGATCCTCTTTCCTTGTTTTGCTTATTGGTGTTACTGGCTAGAAAGAGCCTTGGGCAGGGAAGGGTCTCTCTCAGGGTTGAGAGTGTAGCTCCTGTGGCTGCCTATTGTCTCTGCTGTGACCAACACTTTTGTGCCCAGGAATGTTGGACTGGCCCCAGGAGTGGTGATGGTAGAACAGAGTCAACAGCGACTGGAATTATTAATATTGATTGAATGCCTTTAAAATAGTATATTCATATACCAAATGCATCACTTAACACTTTTGTTCTTCCTCACTCTCCTACTTAAGTTGCAAGGAAGTGAATTGTTAGGTTCTACATAGGCCCAAAGGCTGAAGCTGGGTTATCTGACTGAGTATAACCCTTTTAATTAGCTAGCTTGCTCAAGATTCCCTTTGGCTCAAGCCAGAAAAGAGGGAAAAGTTTTTTTAAAAAAGTGAGAAAGTGAGAGAGAATAGAACTTTTTGCCTTCAACCATAATCTTGTCCTGACTGCCTTAGCCATGATGAAATAACTTGAAGACCAACAGTTACAGGAATCATGCCAAAGATACACATGCCTATGGATAGACAAAAGAGGATACCACCAAGATAGTAAGAATACAGAAATAAAGCCAAGTTTGAAATCTAGTCTCAATAACAAGACTAGGCCAAAATTAACCATTTTATCTTAATAGAGACTTAGGCTAAAAAAAATCTCAAAACACAGAAAGTATAGAAATACTACTACTACTACCATATATGACAGGGCATAAACTTATCACCACGAAGCTTAACTGAAATCATATGTATTCTTTGCTGTGGCATAAAAATGCAGCAAGCTGGGTCAGTCCAATCATTTTTAGAAGCTAAAAGAGCTTTCCTCTGATGGTCACACTCACTCATGACAGCACTGAGGGGGCAATGGAGCAGGTCCATGAGCACCATCAGGACAGTAGTCTATTCCTGGTCATCCAAAGACAGGCAACGAGTTAGGTTGTATTCCAAGTCCACTTGTAGGAATTTCTCAGCCATGTTTTCCCACGTAACACTCCTAGGTTGGAAAAAAACACTTGGATTCCTATACACCCCGGATGCATCTCAGAGTCCTGTTCCTTCTGATCCCAGAATCTGGAGCTCTCCTACAAGTACTGCTGTGTTAGAAACCCCTAAAATCACACCTCTACAGTAACTCACAGTCACATAGAGTGCTATTTTAGCAATGACATAAGCAGAAGACTCAAAAATTGATGCCATAGTGATTTAATAGTATGACACATTTTCCAAAACTTTTTAAGGTTTCTCATCCACTGGAATTAATTAGAATCTGCTAATGTGATTCTGTAAAAACTCTAGTTTTTATTTTTATCATATTGAATATCTACTATGAAAAATGATAGTTATTATGGCAGCTGAAATTTCCTTTTTTAATGTTGTTGATTGTCATCTACTTATAGGCAGAGTGGCATAGGGACAGAGACCAGAGACAGATTTTCCATCCTGTGGTTCATTCTCCAAATACTTGCAGTAGCCAGGACTGGGCCAGGATGAAGCCAGGAGCCCAGAAAACCATCTGGGTCCCCTGTGGGTAGCAGAGGCCTGAGAATGTGAGCCCTCATCTGCTGCCTACAGGTTGCCTTAGCAGGACGCTGAACTAGAAGTAGGATAGCCAGGATTCAGACCAGGCACTCTGATTTGGGATTTGACTGTCCCAAGTGGTGGTTTAACCTGCTGCGCCACAATGTCTGCCCCAACTTAAATGACTCTACCTGCCCTCAGACCACAGGTAATAAAAATCTTCTATTTTAGCTCATATAAAGGCCATTAGTTACTTTGTGTGCACTGAAATTTCTGTGGAGTACTCTGTTCTAATATAAGAGGTTTATGAGTTGGGATTTGAAGCTTTAAAACTTTTCTGAATTGATAGGGCACTTCAGATGTACTCACCTCCATGTAAACATAGAAAAACAAGCTCTTTAGAAATGCCTAGGACTGCTTCCTCAACAACTGCACCAGCTACATGTACTTAGAAAATGACTGAGGAAAATCAAGTTGTAAGATAAAGATTTAGAGAAATTGGGGGCCAGTGTTGTGGCGCAGTGAGCTAAGCTGCCACCTGCAATGTCATATCTATACTGGTTTGAATTGTGGCTGTTCCGCTTCTAACCCAGCTCCTGCTAATTCACTTGGGAAAGCAGTGGAAGATGGACCAAGTCCTTGGACCTCTGCCACTGTGGGAGACCTGGGTGGAGCTCCAGGCTCCTGGCTTTAGCCTGGCCCAGCCATGTTGTTGCAGCCATTTGGGGAGTGAACCAGTAGATGGAAGATTTCTCTCTCTCTCTGCCTCTCAAATAAAAATAAATCTTTTAAAAAAATATTTAGAGAAAATGAATTAATCGAATCGTTTAGCTTGTAAATCAGTGCCTTTAGCTTATAATGGATGAGAGATTAGCAGTACTAGCTTAGGTATATCTGATCCTAGTTTAAATTGTTTTGGAATTAAAGGACAATTTTGGTGCAAAAATCTTGACATTATGCATAGTTTTTTCATAACAGTGTTCATGATCTTTTTTATTTTTGTTAATATAAAGAGAACAGATTTTATATATTTGATTGATACACTAATAAAAAGATAACCAGACTTCCTACCTTTCTCCCTCCCTCAATCCTTCTCTTTCCTTCCTTTCTTTTTTCTTTTTTTAAAAATTATTTTATTTATTTGAAAGAGTTACACAGAGAGAGAAGGAAAGGCAGAGAGAGAGAGAGAGAGAGAGAGAGAGAGAGGTCTTCCATCCCAAATGACCGCACAGCCAGAGCTGAACTGATCCGAAGCCAGGAGCTTCTTCCTGGTCTCCCATGTGGGTACAGGGGCCCAAGCATGTGGGCCATCCTCTACTGCGTTCCTAGGCCATAGCAGAGAGCTGGATCGGAAGAGGAGCATCTGGGACTTGAACCGGCACCCATATGGGATGTGGGTGCTGCAGCCTGGGGCTTTAACCCGCTATGCCACAGCACTGGCCCCTTTTTTTCTTTAATTTATACAAGGATATACTTTCAATCCACTATATAATCACAGGCCTAATTAAGAAAAAATATACCTGGAAACATTTGAAATCTGAGGCTTTGGAGGCATAAAGTTTACAAGTCAGGTAGGATCTTAAAACTATAAAGATTTAATAATAAAAGGAAATTGTGGTAGCTTTGGTTAGAAATATTGACTTCTGGGGCTGGCATTGTGGGGTAGCAGGTAAAGCCACTGCCTGTAACGCCAGCATCCCAGAAGGGCACTGGTTCATGTCCTGGCTGTTCCACTTCCCATCTAGCTCCCTGCTAACCGTCTGGGAAAAGCAGCAGAAAGTGGTCCAAGTGCCTAGGCCTCTGCTACCCACGTGGGAGATCTGGAAGAAGCTCCTGTCTCCTGCCTTTGGCCTGGCCCAGCACTGGCTGTTGTGGCCATCTGGAGAGTAAACCAGCAGATGGAAGATCTCTGTCTCTCCCTCTCCCTCTGTAACTCTGACTTTAAAATAAATAAATAAGTAGATCTCTTTAAAAAAAAAAAAAGAAAAAAAATGCTGTTTTCTTCTGAGAAGAAGAAAACGAAAATGCCAGAAAATTCAGTGACTAAGGAGAAATGCTAGGAATCTGAAACACTTTCTTTGACTAAATGTCTTGCTGTAAGAAAAAGTGGCCCTTCTAAGCAATCTGCCATAATTTTAAAGAACACATAAATGAATATATTTCTTGTTATTTCTCTCCTGTTTTTTGAATGTGAACTGCTGAATAACTTCCTCATTGAGATTTCATAGTTATTATGAATGTTTACATAATGGAGTCAAAAAATTATTTTTCAATGTTGCTTTTCTTATTAAATATGTGTTTATTTATTTGAAAGGCAGAGTTACAGGAAGAGAGAGGGAGAGACAGAGAGAGGAATTCCATCTGCTCGTTCACTCCTCAAATGGCTACAAAGGCCAGAGCTGGGCCCATCTGAAGTCAGGAACCTCATCTGAGTCTCCCACACAGGTGCAGGGGCCCCAAGGACTTGGGCCATCTTCCACTGCTTTCCCCAGGCCATAGCAGAGAGCTGGATCAGAAGTGGAGCAGCCAGACTCAAACTGGCGCCCATATGGGATGCCGGTGCTGCAGGCAGTGGCTTTTTCTGCTATGCCACAGTGCCGGCCCCCCATGTTGCTTTTTTTTTTTTTTTTGACAGGCAGAGTGGACAGTGAGAGAGAGAGACAGAGAGAAAGGTCTTCCTTTGCCGTTGGTTCACCCTCCAATGGCACGCCACGGCCAGCACGCTGCGGCCGGCGCACCGCGCTGATCCGATGGCAGGAGCCAGGAGCCAGGTGCTTTTCCTGGTCTCCCATGGGGTGCAGGGCCCAAGCACCTGGGCCATCCTCCACTGCACTCCCTGGCCACAGCAGAGAGCTGGCCTGGAAGAGGGGCAACCGGGACAGAATCCGGTGCCCCAACCGGGACTAGAACCCGGTGTGCCGGCGCCGCTAGGCAGAGGATTAGCCTAGTGAGCCGTGGCGCCGGCCCCCATGTTGCTTTCTTAATGTGTATGCATTGTATGTTGTAAAACTTTTTTTAGGGGAAGGCATCTGACCTGATGGCTAATACTCCACCTAAGCCGCCCACATCCCACATTGGAGTGCCTGGCCTCCAGTCCCGTTTCCACTCCCAATTCCAGCTTCCTGCTAAGGTGCACCCTGGGAGGCCGCAGGTGCTGGCTTAAGTGCTTAGGCCTCTGCCATCCATGTGAGAGACCTGGATTGAGTTCATGGCTCCCGTCTTCAGCCTGGGAGTTGCACACATTTGGGGAGTGGAGCAGTGGGTGGATGGGAGCTCGCTCTCACGCGATCAAATTTTTAAAACACTTTTTTTAATGCCTTAACAATACTCACCTGTCTTTTTACTCCCTCAGTAATCGTGTGGAAGCCTGGACAAGAGATGTTGCTTTCCTACTCCGACAGGAAGGCAGGCCCATGGTTAATCTCCTTCCTGACAAGAATAAAACAAGAGTGATGGAAAAGGACTGGAAGATCACAGACAGGGCCACAGACTGGCTAAGGAAGGAGGCCGTGCACCTCGCAGGGCCCTTCGTTCTTTACGTGGGATTGAATTTACCACACCCTTACCCTTCCCCGTCCTCAGGAGAAAATTTTGGAGCTTCAACATTCCAAACATCTCATTACTGGCTTAAAAAAGTAAGTTCACATGTGTGCTGCAACATACAAGTCAACATTTCATCTGCAGGTTTCTGGCATTAGCTCATTGTTTCTTTTATTACTGCTTTTAAAGCAAATTTGAAAAGTATCTATTTTCAAACTTGACCAGTAGCAGGTTTGATAAAAAACTAAAGAGGCAGTTTTACAGAACTAAACTAAAACAAGTGTTAGAACTCATGCATGCTGTGAGCTGACCAAATGTGTGTACGATATGTCTAGAAAAACAGAGACCGAAGCCATTCTCTTAGGGACACAGGCAGTCCTCGTTACGCAGAGTTCAGAATGGTAGAAAAGACTAAGCAAGCGGAAGCTGTACAAAACGATCCTAAGAAGCAGGGGAAGAAATGGCCATTGTTGGGCCGGTGCTGGTGCTCACTTGGTTAATCCTCCATCTGCAGCGCCAGCATCTCACATGGGCGCCGGGTTCTAGTCCTGGCTGCTCCTCTTCCAGTCCAGCTCTCTGCTGTGGCCTGGGAAGGCAGTGGAGGATGGCCCAAGTGCTTGGGCGCCTGCACTCACATGGGAGACCAGGAGGAAGCACCTGGCTCCTGGCTTCAGATCGGCGTAGCTCCAGCCATGGCGGCCATTTTGGGGGTGAACCAACAGAAGGAAGACCTTTCTCTGTGTCTTTCTCTCTCACTGTCTAACTCTGTCAGATAAAGAAAAAAGGCCACTGTTTCAGGAAGTTTTAAAAAGATCTGTCAAAACATTGAAAGCTTCTTTGTGGGTTATAAATTAAAATGAAAAATACTAAAAATAATATTTAGTGTACTGTAATGCAAACACTAGAAACATGGGAGACATAGAGAATTAAAGTGTAAGGTTCTTTACAAACAAAACAAAACAACACCTTAACAGTAGTTTTAACACTGGTTGCCGTCTCTAACGTATAACCCAGAACAAGAATGGGCTCTGTGAGTCGGCAGAGCCTAAACTCGGATCACCTTCTGACGTTCTCCCTGTTTCACCTCCGGTGTCGAGATACACGGCCAGGAGTTCCTCGAATGCACACTTTTTAGCAGTGTCACTTCCTCAGGACATCTTTGCCCTTTCTTCGCACCAGCTCTCCTCATTCAGGTCTGCGAGTGCCTTCCACAAGTTCCATCTCTAACGAGTGTCTGTGTATAGTGATGCAGTTCTGAAAAAGTACTTTGAAAATTCTATGTCTCAGTTCCAGCCTGTTATTTCTCTCGTCAGCTATTCCAGGCCAGCTCTTTCTTCCAGGACTTCATTTACCTTTGATCTGAATTTCACCTGCGTTCTTACCATTTTTCACGTCTGCACCGCATGTTCATCTTTGGGTTATCCGTTCCTGTGATGTGCCACGTGGATTTATCAGTGAGAGACAAGGAGGCGGCACAAATGCTCACTTGGCTCTCTGTGCATTTACTGCAAACCAGTCACCGACACACTCTGAAACAACATGACTAGTCACTGAGGAAGACGCACATCTGCTGTTTACATGGTGACTTGTAGGCTGGAGAGCTAGCGGCATATCAGTGTGAAAGTTGTAGTTTATGTAATTATCCACAGTTCATACACCCCGATTACTGAGATTTAAATCATTTGGTTGGGGGACTGGTGTTATTTAATTAAACTCTGATAGCTGATATTTATGCCTATCAGACCCATGTGAGGCAGCGTTGCCTGTATTAGGCGATGTGTAGCCTTAAATTAGGTCACTCTGGAAACTAATCAGAGGGGCCGGCGCCGTGGTTTGCTTGGCTAATTCTCCACCTGCGGCCCCGGCATCCCATATGGGTGCCAGGTTCTTGTCCCGGTTGCGCCTCTTCCAGTCCAGCTCTCTGCTGTGGCCCAGGAGTGCGGTGGAGGATGGCCCAAGTGCTTGCGCCCTGCACCTGCATGGGAGACCAGGAGAAGCACCTGGCTCCTGCCTTCGGATCAGCATAGCTCTGGCTGTAATGGCCATTTGGGGAGCGAACCAACGGAAGAAAGACCTTTCTCTCTGTCTCTCTCTCTCTCACTAACTCTATCTGTCAAAAAAAAAAAAAAAAAGAAAAGAAAAAAGAAAGAAAACTAATCAGAAACACAATTTAGTGCATCCTGTTGAAAAGGAAATAATGTCAGAATTTTAAATTTCCACATCTTAGAAAGTTCTGGGGGCTCCATCTTCACAAACCTATTTGAGGGCAGGCATTGTGGTGGAGCGGGTAAAGCTGCCGTCTGCAACAACTGTATCCCATATGGGCACCGGTTCAAGTCCTGGCTGTTCCGCTTCTGATCCAGCTCCCTGCTAATGGGCTGGGGAAGCTGCAGAGGATAGCCCAACTGCTTAGGCCCCTGCACCCTTGTGGGAGATCGGGAAGATGCTCCTGACTCCTGGTTTTAGCCTGGCCCAACTCCAGCTGTTGCAGCCATTTGGGGAGTGAACCAGTGGATGGAAAATATTCTCTCTCTGTTTCTCTCTCTCTCTCCTCCCCCTCTATGTAACTCTTTTAAATACATAAATCTTTAAAAAAAAAAAACTATTTGAAGTTAGTACTAGCCATAAATGAATTAAGTAACTTCGAACTAGATGGGAGATAGATGGTTGGACTTTTTGAAAGCTTACATGACTAAAACTTATATAAGAATTAAAGATCTAGTCTTAAATGTTGTTACCAACACTGTAAACATTTATATTTATACACACACATCAAGGCTGCATTTGTGGAACAGATATTTGGCTAAGTGCTTAGAGGTTGGCATTTTTACTGGTGAACTCTTGGGGAAGAGTTCAGGTCTCAGACGGTTGGACCTGAGTCTTGAGTTGGTCACACTCATGTACACCATGTACTCAAGTGCTCCCCTCACTTGAGGAGCAAGGAATACGTTTCCCAGAGACATGAAGCTTGAGCCGGGCTGCAGTGTCATCTGAGATAGCTCCTGTTTCTCGCTGGCCTGCAGATGTTTTCTTTTCTACCCTCTAAGTGAGTGCACGTTGTCTAGTTCCCCACACAGACTTGTTGGGCGGGGGGAGGAATATTACTGATGTACTAGAACCACAAACTAAGCTTGTTCTCCCCTTCTTAGGTGTATCGTGATGCCATCAAAATCCCCAAGTGGTCGCCCCTGGCAGAAATGCACCCTGTGGACTACTATTCTTCCTACACAAAAAACTGCACTGGGAAGTTTACAAAGAAGGAAATTAAGAACATTCGAGCATTTTATTATGCCATGTGTGCCGAGGCAGACGCCATGCTTGGTAGGTGATTTAGTTCGTAGGCAATTACCTGAAGAAAACCTGGAATATTTTTCCAGCAGGCTGTGCTTGTGCTGGCTGGTGACTTACATGAACGCCTTCAGAGATTTCTCACTACAGTCGCCTACATACTTCAGACTTAGAAGTCTAAGAATTCCGACACATACAAAAAGAGTGTAACTGGCATTAGTAGTAGAACACAATGTCTTTTCTATCTTAATGACCCCTAAATTCTCATATTCGTAACTGCTCATATTTGTTCATACATAAGGAAAGGACCACAGAAGGCTATCTACTGCTTGAAACAAAACTCTTTACTGGCCTTAAATAGGGGCCAGTGTTTGGTTGACAGGTAAGGCAGCTTAGGTTCTAAGAGAAGAGAGGTTGCTAGTAGAATCTTGTCACTTCTTCCAGACTTGTAAAAACTACAAATCCATTCTTGCTAGGCCTTTAGAGCAAGGCCTAAGACTGAAATCAGTTTCCCCATGTACTCATATATTCAAGTCCAGAATCATACTGAGTTTTTTGTCCTTGTTCAAGTTTAAGGCCAGCTCAGAGTCAAACCTGTCTCCTTAAGATGGTTGCCATGGGGGTGTTTTGCCTTATCTCTGGCAAAGTCATAGCAGTTCTCAGTTCATATGTGGAGACACCCAGGCTTTTTAAAAATACCAGTGGAGGGGTGTCATGTTTTATGTATTTATTTATTTATTCATTTAAATTTTAGTTTTAAGAGAGACAGACAGGGGCCAATGCTATGGTACAACAGGTTAACACCCTGGCCTGAAGTGCTGGCATCCCATCTAGGCGCCTGTTCAAGACCCGGCTGCTCCACTTCTGATCCAGCTTTCTGCTATGGCCTGGGAAGGTAGTACAAGATGCTCCAAGTCCTTGGGCCCCTGCACCTGCCTTGAAGACCCGGAAGAAGCTCCTGGCTCCTGGTTTCAGATCAGCGCAGCTCCAGCTGTTGTGGCCAATTGGGGAGTGAGCCAACCGATGGAAGACCTCTCTCTCTCTCTCTCTCTCTCTCTCTCTCTGCCTCTCCTCTCTCTGTGTAACTCTTTCAAATAAATAAATAAATCTTTTTTTGAAAAAAAAAAAAAAAGAGAGAGACAGACAGACAAAAGGAGAGAGAACTTTCATCTACTGTTCACTCCCCAAATGCCTGCAACAGCCAGACCTGGGCCAGGCCACAGCCAGGAGTCCAGAAGTTGATCTAGGTGGTCTCCAGGTGGTCCCAGTGGCAGAGACCAAAGTACTTGAGCCATCACTAATTACCTCTCAGGTAGCCAGTAGCAGGAAGCTGGATCAGAAGCAGAGTAACCAAGACTTGAACCAGGTACCCCAGTAGTGGATGCAGGTTGCCCAAGTGGTTTCTTAACTGCTATGACAAATACCCAGCCCCAAAATACACATTTTTATAATGAAACTTATTTTATTAATCCATGTTATTTATTTGCTGCCCTTTGGCATAATGGCATTAGTGAAATATGGGTAGCACCTCTTCTGTCCAGAGTGAATCTTGGCGGTGAACAAGTGGATAGCTGTTTGTTAAAAAGCATTTCTTGGGTAAAAATAGAATAGTACACAGAAGAAAGCTCAGAGGCCAAATAAGTTATTTAAAATAGAGCAACATAATACAAGCTAAGAGCGTCACAAGGATTCCCCAAGTATTCAATCTTAATGCAAATAAAATTAAGTACGTTTCTGTTGTCATAAATCCATACACCTGTTTTCTACGGTAGGGAGCGTTCACTCACCTACACCCTAGGAGTCACTTTTGAAGATTTACAGCCATCCATTCACCCCCATGCACTAACGTGAAATGCTAACTAATGAGCTTCAGGGCTAGTGGGAATACTCCTCAGGCCTCTTCAGAGAAAGATACAGCAGTTCCCTTAAGTTCAAGTCACAAAGTTTATGGAATATTTTCTGTCTTCATTGTAAATAATACACTTATATGACCGACAAATAGGATTACTGTTTGATCATGTGTGTTCAACCAACAATCAGCGCCTCTGGCTGTCAGCCACTAGGCTGGGCACCAGGGACACCATGCCGAATGCTGTGAAGAAATTTCACATTTAAGATACTGTAAGCCCTTCCCCTACTTCAAGGCCTTTGGATGTTCTGTTTCCTCTTTCTGGGATGCCCTTCCCTTTGCTTTTTACATGGCTGGCTTATTATTAGCTCAGCTAGTACCCCCTTAAGGCTGTTTTCCTAAACCACCCTCAGTTAGTGTACCAGTCCCATTATTCTGCTTCCTCTATACTTTATTGCGTTTCTCCATTATATTAATTTCTGTTTGCCTGTTTTCTATCTGTTTCCCCCAAAGAACGTGAGCCTCAGGATGGCAGGGACAGTCAGTCTTATTCGGTATTACATCCGAGTTGCCTGCCTTGCATTCATAGTGCCTTGCACACGTAAGCATTCAGTAAATATTTACTGAATGAGTGTAAACACAGGAAGTCACAATATCTTGTTATAATATCTACAGAGATGCCCAAGTTTCAGGGGTCTTGGAGAACAGAGTGATTCAGTCCACTTGGAGGAGCAGGGAATGAGGCTTTACTGGAGAGATGGAGCTTGAGCGGGGTCACAAAGGCAGGATGGGAATTTGCAGAGTGGAGAGTGGAAGAAGCAGCATTCAGTACAGGAAGCAGTGTGTGCAGAGCCAAGGAAGCATAACTAATGCTGTGTGTTCAGGAGATCAAGTCATTTAGGAGTGCTGGAAGGCAGAGGCCTGGCAGGTGGCTGAGGGTGCCGAGGTTGGAGAGTGCAGAGGCCTCGCTTGCCGTACTAAAGAATCAGGCCCTGAGAAGCTGTGAGCAAGCAAGCACAGGCGACACCATGAGATGCACCAGCGTGGTACGAGGACACTGTGGAAGGGAGAGGGGTGGTCACTAGAAGACCAGCTAGGAAGCAGTTCCAGTTGTCCCGTTGACTGTCATGATGGTCTCACATCCAGGAATAATTCCAAAGAGCACTGACTCTGTTCTGCCTGGACCTCAGAATCTGTAGGTTTTTTTGTTTTGTTTTGTTTTGGTTTTGTTTTTTTTTAACAATAAAGACTCTGGTACCCCAGCTGCAAGTAGTGCTAAAACAAAGAGGACTCCTTGGTCTGTACTCTGCTCTACTGGGGTTCTCTTCATTACAATGGGGAGGAAGTTTCAAGATAGTAGCAAACAGCAATGGTCAGAGGAACTTGACTATCCAGTCATTCCCTAGCTAAGGATATGCTAAATCTCACTTGTATACTCTCTCTGTTGCCTCCAGCTCATCTTCAGAGGTGGAATTTCTGTAACCCTTAGTCAACTGCAAGAGCTTGACCTAGTGACTGCTTAGAGTTTGGAAGGAAGAGTAGCAGATAAGAGTTCTGACTGCTCTTATGATCTCGTTTTGTGCAGAAATTGTGGGTCAGTGGTGATACCAGTCTGTGTCATTTGAGACATGTATGGTGTTTATGGTCAGACTTAGGGAGAAGACATCTCCCCAACCCACTGTCTTAAAAACAGAAATCCAACCAGCCATGTTCTCCAGGTGAGCCGGAGGTCCTGGGAGTATTATATTTTCCCTTTTCTCACTCCACTGTCAACTGAGGAGCAAGCACATGAGACTAGATAATATTCAGATGTTAAGACAAACTTCTGTAGGGTGCTGTTGTCATAAACTTAATACGACAGAATAAAACATCAGATAATCAGTACCGATTTCTCTGGATTTCTATTGTAGGTGAAATTATTTTGGCCCTTCGCCAGTTAGACCTTCTTCAGAAAACTGTGGTCATATACACATCAGACCACGGGGAACTGGCCATGGAGCACCGACAGTTTTATAAAATGAGCATGTACGAAGCCAGTGCCCATGTGCCGCTTTTGATAATGGGACCAGGAATCAAGGCCAACGTGCAAGTTCCAAACGTGGTTTCCCTTGTGGATATTTACCCTACCCTGCTTGGTAAGTCATGGGTTCTGTCATTGTGTATTTGTAGTGAATGGAGAATGAACAAGCACCTCGGAGGCCCTGCTGACTGATTTCTAACCTTGAGAGACTCATCTGACTGTGAGTCAAGTCCATATTTTGAAAAACAAGGAAACGGCTCCTCGTACTCCTGTGGCCTTCACTGGCCTTAGTGATGTCCCCTTCAGAAGCTCACGGTCAGGATGTGACTGTGAAGCAAGCCACGAGAGAAAGGGTCGTGATTCTGCAGAAATGATTTGTGCGCCATTGGATTCTCTGCCACCACCTCACTAAAATGTCATTTTAGGGATTATTCCATCTACCCGGAAACGACTAACTTTGTATAGTGTTAGAATCTATTTTCTAAAATCCATAGTTGTACATAGTTTTTTATATATTTTATCTTTCATAAGATTCTTAGTAACAGACTTCCTTTGAGTCACATTTCCCTGCAGAATATATGGATTAGCAGCATGTAGGTCATGTGCTACTTTGACCTGCCCAACAAGAATAAAGGAAGTAAAAGCCAAAAATAAGTGCATCTTCCATTCTACACTGGAAATTAAGTTAACATCTTCAAGGCTTAGCACAATTTAAAATGTGTTTCATAATAAATATTCTTACATTATCACAAGGGGAAAAGCTGCAACTATATGATTTTTTTAGGAGGGAAAAGGCAGTGGAAGAGAACACAAGTGCACAGATCTTTATATAAGACCCTAAGATATCCTATAAATGAGCTATTAGCTGGAGGTAAAGTAGAAAGACGCAAGGAAATTTAACAAGAACCTAATATTTAAGCCAGACAATAACATTATCATGGTATTATTTCTTTCAAATTAACCTTTTTATTTTTTTTTTAAATTTTTTTTATTTTTATTTTTTTTTGACAGGCAGAGTGGACAGTGAGAGAGAGAGACAGAGAGAAAGGTCTTCCTTTGCCGTTGGTTCACCCTCCAATGGCCGCCGCTGCAGCCGGCGCACCGCGCTGATCCAATGAGTCTCAAAAATATTGCATGAAAGATAGTGATTCAAAAAATCTTTAGGTGTCTGCACCATGGCTCACTTGGTTAATCCTCCGCCTGCGGTGCCGGCATCCAATACAGGCACCTGGTTCTAGTCCCAGTTGCCCTTCTTCCAGTCCCGCTCTCTGCTATGGCCTAGGAGGGCAGTGGAGGATGGCCCAAGTGCTTGGGCTCCGCACGGGAGACCAAGAAGAAGCACCTGGCTCCTGGCTTCAGATCAGTGCAGCACCGGCCGTAGCAGCCATTTGGGGAGTGAATCAACGGAAGGAAGACCTTTCTCTCTCTGTCTCTCTCTCTCACTGTCTGTAACTATGTCAAATAAATTTTTTAAAAAATTCTTTATTGGATTGGAAAACCAATTGGGATTCCTGCTTTAAAAAACCTACCTTACCCTCAATAGTGTGTTGAAATTTAAGATGCTGTAATGTTTTTATTTAAAAGTATGAATTTACAAATAATTTTTAAGAATGCATTTTCCCTATGAAATATTTAATGAGACAGAAGAGTATTCTTAGTTTGTGTATATTTGTGGGTCTTTTATGATGTACTATTACATTACCATTTACTAGTGCTGCCAGAAATGTGCCATTTTATGAATAAGAATTCTTTATAGTACTAAAAATTGATATCATTATTTCAGAGATTATTCTTTAAAAATTACTTCCTCCATTTTCTTCTCAAAAACCTAGTATCAGCAACCTTTAGCTCAGTGAGAAATAAAGGTAATCTATTTTAGAATTAAAATTGATTTAATTTTCATTTATAAACTTATATGAAAAAAAATTTTTTTTTTGACAGGCAGAGTGGACAGTGAGAGAGAGAGACAGAGAGAAAGGTCTTCCTTTATCATTGGTTCACCCTCCAATGGCCGCCGCGGCCGGCGCGCTGCGGCCGGCACGCTGTGGCCGGCGCACCGCGCTGATCCGATGGCAGGAGCCAGGTACTTATCCTGGTCTCCCATGGGGTGCAGGGCCCAAGCACTTGGGCCATCCTCCACTGCACTCCCGGGCCACAGCAGAGAGCTGGCCTGGAAGAGGGGCAACCGGGACAGAATCCGGTGCCCCGACCGGGACTAGAACCCGGTGTGCCGGCGCCGCAAGGCGGAGGATTAGCCTAGTGAGCCGTGGCGCCGGCCACTTATATGAAAATTTTTTAAAAGTTGATCTTTTCGTAGAACACCTGCCTTCCTCCCATTTAGAAGTTCAGATTTTATTTTGAATTATGGGATTGTAATTATAGAATTCTTAATTGTTGTTGATTCAAATTGTAAAACCCTTCTTTCAGGATCTTACTTGAAGACTGGGATGGGCAGGCATTTTGCACAGACTTTGTAGCTGGTTGTAACTGGCTGAGAAATACTGTGGAATTGAATGACTACAGCAAAGCAAGAATTACGGTGTAATACAGAGAGCCCGCCCCACGCCACCGCCAGTCATTACCAATTGTGTGACCCTGGGCAGGTTATCTGACATCTCTGCTCTTTCATTTTCTCATCAAAAAAATAAAAAAATATTTTATAGCTCTCAATAAAGCTTGGGACATGCTAAACACTTAAATGTTAGATACGATTATATTAACATCTTTCATTCTTCTTAGGTAAGCTCTAAAAAACGTGTACTGTTGCCGTGTATCTGCAGCAGCGCCCGTGTGCTGAATGAATAAAAAAGAGAAAACGCACACGGACTCTTAGCTTACCACTGACTTCTCCTGGAAAGACAGCAGCAAAGTTGTGTGGTCTTCCAGGCGTCTCTAGGAAAGAAAGAGTAAGAACAGTTTAGGTGCTGAAGGTTATTAACACACCGACTACAAGAACTTCCACAGACCGGAGTCCGTGTCAGTGCATCGCCAAGTCCCGCCTTGCTCAAAGGCATCCCCTCTCCCCTCCCTGTGCCTGTGGAGCCCCCCTCCCCAGCCTCGCCCCCACCGCCCGCCTCCCCTTCCTGCAAGCAGTCTCCCCCGCAGCTCTCCCCCTGTTCTGAAATACCTCTCTCTCCTTTCTTTATGACTCAATGAAGTCCCTAGCGATGGCTGCTCACACAGTACTAGCACTTGTAATATGCCTTTTCCACAGGAGATGGAAGATAAAGTTGTTATCTGTAAAACCAGTACCTGCGGAAGATTTATAGAGGTCTAATTCCTTTTTCCCTTTTAACCTGTTTGTTCCCTTAGTTAATCTAATGTATCTTTGTTTTTCAATTTGGTTTCATTTCTAACATTTCAGATAGAATACTTTCTGTTTTTCTTCAGAAATATTTAAATATACATAAAAATATGGAACATTCACCTCAAAAAAGGGGTGGAGAAGATGCTGCAGACTCATTTTAAAACTATCCTGAAGGCCGGCGCCGAGGCTCACTAGGCTAATCCTCTGCCTAGCGGCGCCGGCACACAGGGTTCTAGTCCCGGTCAGGGCGCCAGATTCTGTCCCGGTTGCCCCTCTTCCAGGCCAGCTCTCTGCTGTGGCCAGGGAGTGCAGTGGAGGATGGCCCAAGTGCTTGGGCGCCTGCACCCGCATGGGAGACCAGGAGAAGCACCTGGCTCCCGGCTTCGGATCAGCGCGGTGCACTGGCTGCAGCGGCCAGTGGAGGGTGAACCAACGGTAAAGGAAGACCTTTCTCTCTGTCTCTCTCTCTCTCTCACTGTCCACTCTGTCAAAAAAAAAAAAAAAAGAAAGAAAGAAAGAAAGAAAGAAAGAAAGAAAGAAAGAAAGAAAGAAAGAAAGAAAGCTATCCTGAATACCCAGCCATAATTAAAAAGAAAATTTGAGTGCCAAACAAATACTTTCTTTAAGATTTATTTATTTATTTATTTGAAAGGCGGAGCTACAGAGAGGCAGAGAGAGAAACAGAGAGAGAGAGAGAGCGAGAGAGAGAGTTCTTCCATCCACTGGTTCACTCCCCTAGATGGCCGCAATGGCTGAAGCTGAGTTGATCTCAAGCCAGGATCCAGAAGCTTCTTCCTGGTCTCCCATGTGGGTTCAGGAGCCCAAGGACTTGGGCCATCTTCTACTGCTTTCCCAGGCCACAGCAGAGAGCTGGATCAGAAGAGAAGCAGTCGGGACTCGAACCGGCGCCATATGGGAAGCCAGCACTGCAGGAAGTGGCTTTACCTGCTACACCACAGAGCCGGCCCCACAAATACTTTTAAAGTCCTTAAAAAGTATAACGTGTTTTTAAGTTAGCCATTCCTCATTTGTCTGCCTACATTTTATAATATACCAATAAATTATTACGTAAAATTAGCATATAAAAATAAATTACTTTTCCCTAGATCAGTAGAATCCAAGATTCCTAAAGTACGTTTTATAAAATATTAATCCCCCAAGATGCTACTTAGAAATGAAAAAACATTCTGTCATCAAATAAGTTTAGAAAACCTGGTATACTACAGGCTATTCTTGAAGTTTATACTACACGGCGACAATAAACCTACATCTACAACCATTTATCTTCAATTTTGATTAGCCATTGTTTTGCACGTGTACGTGACTACTGAACTCCTTTCTCATATAGGTCTTGTTAATATCCCATGGAACAAACATGGAGAAACAACTGTGATTATTTGAACATTCAGGGAAAAAGAACCTTCATTAACTAATATTGGATGAGGGTTCCTGTGGGCCAGGCAGTGTTCTCAGAATTTTACTTAATTATCTTATTCAAACCTAAAGTGAACCTGTGAGATCAAAGAACTATTATCAACCCTCTCCTACAGGTGAAGCTCAGAGAAGTTAATACACTGACCAAGGTGACGTGGCTCATGGACAAAGCATTTGAATGTAGGCAGTGTATTTCCGAAGTCCACATACAAGCTCTAGTTGCAGCACCCTTCCTCTTAGAGAGAAGTGTAAATAATGTCATTTATCACTGTCCAAGTGACAGAAGAATGAGTTTTGAAAAAGTACTTTATTTGTGTTGCACAGATATTGCCGGGATCCCTCTGCCTCAGAATCTGAGTGGATACTCTCTGTTGCCACTATCATCGGAAACACTTAGGAATAAAAATGAACTCAAAACCCTGCATCCGCCCTGGATTCTGAGTGAGTTCCATGGGTGTAACGTGAACGCCTCCACCTACATGCTTCGAACTAAGCGGTGGAAGTACATCGCCTACGCAGACGGTGCTTCGGTGTTGCCTCAGCTCTTTGGTAAATGTGTTGATCTGCTTTTCCATGTAGAATTTTGTGTGATGAGCTAACTGACATGGTGTTACGCAAGGAGTTTGGTTCTAGTTGTTAATATCTGCTGCTTTTCATGCCGGAACAGTCTACGAAAGACTGCCCACGTGAGGAGCAGCTTCCTTGCCAATGATCGTGTGAATTTTAAAGAGAGTGTACTAAGGCTTTTGATTTCGGTCTCATGGTTGCAACCAGTTTTCTCTGATCAGAATCTGTTCATGTTCAGGTTATCTTTTCCAGTCAGCTGTCAACACCTTCTCATTGTACCTAGGTTTCACCTGTCAGGAAAGATTAATGACTCTTATGGTACCTGATGATTTACATGCATTATTTAGCCCCCCTAGATAGTAGCATTACCTTCATTTTACAGAGGAGATGAGCAGCCAGAGAAATCCAGATACCTGTGAAAGATTTAACAGCTAAGCAGCAGCAGAACTCAGATTTTCACGCAGGGCTGACTACATCCCAATCTCTTCTACCCTAGGGAAATGCCTGTTAGCTTCTGAATTAATTTCTAAACTGCATATGAGATTTAGGGTTTTTCTTACTGTTTGTCCCCATTTTGTACATAAGATATGAGTATGTGCTAAAGCCATTATTCATGTTCATTTCTTCCTGTTTGCTTCCCAGTTACAAATGTCAAAGTTATGAACTCCTTTAGGGACCAAATTGACTAACCCCACCCCCCCACCATTACCCCCCCCCCCCACACACACCCCTCTAAAAACAGGACTCTGGGCTGCAAAAACAAGTCCGTACGTTCTCATCCTGATGGGTAGGGGGCATCTGTTGGTTGCATATTGGCCATTGTTAAATGAAACGGGTGGGAGCCATTGAGTGTACCGAGCCTCTGTGCACTGCACCCAGCAGTCCAGGCTAAAGCAGAATGGACTCACTCGTACTAGACGCTGCGTGAGTAAACTAAACCTTCAAACAGGCCCATTTCCCAAAGGTCAGGATGTTGACGATGACTAATCAGAAGGGGCCCAGTATGCCTGAGCTGGAATGCTCTGGAAGCCCCTCTGTTTTAACCCAATCGGGAAAGTGACTTTGCAACCAGTCCACCTTGCATGGTCTTTCTCAGCCTTTTTCTGCCATGAAGCCCACCTGCACTGCTCAGCTCACTGGAGCCCTTTACTAAATCTTTACATGAGATGCTACTCACTGCGTGACCCACTAAATAACCCATTTGGGCTTCCAATTGAATGTGTTGAAATTTTGTTTTCTGACATGCTGTTCTGCCGTGACCCTCGAAGGATCCATAGTGGAGCCGCCCTTTCCTGCCACCTACGGGCCATCCACTGACATCCTTTGCTTCGTTTGCCTTCAGTGGTCTGCTGGCACTCCAGTGGGCCCCCTACAGACATGTTCCTGTAGGATCTGCAGTTCATTCTCACAACAGCTGTGACCTGCTGCTCTTCCCAGTTAGATTGCCATCCCAGGCGCATCCTGTCTTCCCACACCACATGTAAAAAGCCTGGCTGTGAATTTGAAATATTTTCCTCCTGTTCGTGATTGAAAAGTTTCCATTTCCAAGGCTGTGTGCTCGAATGAATGGTAATACTGAAGTAACGTTCAAACATCCTAGCAGAAGACGTTAATATACAAAGAAAACCGGGACCCTGTGAAGTTGCCAGAACATGACTTGTCTGTATACAGAATTCTTCCAGCTGGAGCGTTTAGGGCTATGGAGATAGGACAGTACAGGCACTACTATTTGGCAAGGCATCAAAAACAGGTAGACTTAGCTGCAAACCAGCTACTAATGATGAGGTTTGATTGTCTCTAACATCTAAGAATGGATTAAAAAAGCAAGATAGCAGGATGACAGTAGGAATGTGATTCAGGCATACATTTTGGGGCTGTTTTACTTTTGATATTACTGTATTATTTTACTATACATACTATTTATACATATATTAAGTTTTGTTATTATTTTATTTTATAATACATCCTGTTCTTCATTTTACTATAAGAAGGAAGAATAAAAAGAATATCTGGGGTGGGTCTTGCAGTGTGTAAGCTGCTGCCTGGGATGCTCACAGGCCATACTGGAGTACCCAGTCAGTCCAGCGACTCTGCTTCCAGTCCAGCTGCCCCTATGCACCTGAAGAGGCACTGGATGATGGCCCAAATATTTGGGTCCCTGCCACTCATGTGGGAGACCTGGATGGAGTTCCAGGTCCCTGGCTACATCCTGGCCCAGCCCTGGCTATTGTGGCCATTTGAGGCGTGAACTAGCACATGAAGATTCTCTCTCTCTCTCTCTCTCTCTCTCCCCCCCCCCCGCATCTCTCTGTGTCACTGCACCTTTCAAACAACAATATAAGTAAATGTTTTTTAAAGATCTAGTGAAATGCTAAAAACCATTTTTTAGCAGGTAACTATTTGACAAATGTTTGATTTTTTTTCTTTCAGATCTCTCCTCGGATCCAGATGAGCTAACAAACATTGCTACAAAATTCCCAGAAATCACTTCTTCTTTGGATCAGAAGCTTCGTTCCATTGTAAACTACCCTGAAGTTTCTGCTTCTGTCCACCGGTACAATAAAGCGCAGTTTATCCAGTGGAAGCAGAGTGTGGGACAGAATTATTCAAATGTCATTGCAAACCTTAGGTGGCATCAGGACTGGCTGAAAGAACCGAGGAAGTATGAAAGTGCAGTCGATCAGTGGCTTAAAACCCACAAGAATCCAGAAACAACTTAACCAAAAACAAGAAAATGATGTTCTAGGGTCCAGCGCTGTGGCGCAGTGGGTTAACGCCCTGGCCTGAAGCTCCAGCATCCCATATGGGCACCGGTTCGAGTCCCGGCTGCTCCTCTTCTGATCCAGTTCTCTGCTGTGGCCTGGGGTAGCAGTGGAGGATGGCCCGAATCCTTGGGCCCCTGCAACCGTGTGGGAGACCTGGAGGAGGCTCCTGGCTCCTGGCTTCAGATCGGCATAGCTCTGGCCATTGCAGCCATCTGGGGAGTGAACCAGCAGATGGAAGACCTCTCTTTCTGTCTCCACCTCTCTCTGTAACTCTTTAAAATAAATAAAATAAATCTTTTTAAAAAATGATGTTCTAGACCTACATGTAAATATGTTAAAATACTGTGTTTTTCTTTATTTTAAATGGAATAGTTTCAATAATTACTGCGTTTTAGTTGCTCTTACGTTTGCAAATGAAATGCCAGTGATTACAGAATCACATCTTTTCAAAAATGGTTATTATTAAGACCGTACCCTTACCAAGTTCTACAAATTTAGTGAAAGTATAAAAAGAAAGGGAGCAACTCCAGTAGTGTAAAAGTTGTCTTCTTCTGAATAACACGGAATACAAAATATTTTAATATCTATTAAGAATTACTTGTGAACCATAAAGTAGTTATGTGTGCATATTTGATGGTGTTTGATGAGCTGTTTGTATTTGATGGGGCCATTTGGATGTATTTAATGGGAGTATTTGGAACATTTAACAGGATGTAGACCTTGGATATAGTTCATTCTAGTACTTGCATACAGTAGGCAATGCACGGACAAGGTACAGGCTTCCAAAGGGTTAACAATGAACAGGAAGCTCCCCTCCTTCCCAGTTGTCTACCAGCCCTGCCCTTCTGAGAGACCACTCCTGAAATTCCCTTCCCCTGTACCTTCCTACAGACCAAGCCACACACAAAGGGTAGCACACCAAACACATCGTTCTGCACTTGCTGCTTTTTATTTGACTTAACAATAGACACGGAGAACCAAAATTGCTGAGTCGGCAGAACATCTAGCCAAGCTACCCTGTCCTGTAAATATTGTTTTTCCAGTTTGTCACTGTCATTTGTCTGTGGACTTGGTCCTGGTGCTTTTTGACATGTAGAAATTTGGTTTTTTTTTTCATGTATTCAAATTCATGCATCTTTGTACCCCATAAGTGTACGTGAGAATTTCAAAAAGTTCAGATAAAAATGGAATTAAAAGATAGTGCACATTTCCCATGAACTTTCTGAAGTACCCTTATATACAGTTTTGACTTGCAGATTAATAATATGAATAAGGCCGACGCCGCGGCTCAATAGGCTAATCCTCCGCCTAGTGGCGCCAGCACATCGGGTTCTAGTCCTGGTCGGGGCACCGGATTCTGTCCCGGTTACCCTTCTTCCAGGCCAGCTCTCTGCTGTGGCCAGGGAGTGCAGAGGAGGATGGCCCAAGTGCTTGGGCCCTACACCCGCATGGGAGACCAGGAGAAGCACCTGGCTCCTGCCTTCGGATCAGCTCGGTGCGCCGGCCGCAGCGGCCATTGGTGAACCAACAGCAAAGGAAGACCTTTCCCTCTGTCTCTATCACTGTCCACTCTGCCTGTCAATATATATATATATATGAATAAAAATTATGAGTATTCTACATTGGTAGCTTTAGGATTTTGTGTCCTATTTGGACTGGCCCTTCCCATTCATCTTCCTTTAGAGTTTTATTTTTCACCCTTCAATCTTTTTTTTAAAAGATTATTTATTTATTTATTTGACAGGTAGAGTTACACAGAGAGAGGAGAGGCAGAGAGAGGTCTTCCATCCGATGGTTCACCCCCCAAATGGCCACAACAGCCGGAGCTACGCCAATCCGAAGCCGGGAGCCAGGTGCCTCTTCCTGGTCTCCCACACGGGTGCAAGGGGCCCAAGCACCTGGGCCATCCTCCATTGCTTTCTCAGGCCACAGCAGAGAGCTGGACTGGAAGAGGAGAAACCAGGACTAGAACCCGGTGCCCATATGGGATACCAGTGCCGCAGGTGGAGGATTTATCTAGTATGCCACAGCGCCTGCCCACCCTTCAATCTTTAATCTAACTGGACATATAACCCCAGTGTGCTTTTAAAATTTTTTTATTTACTTGACAGGTGGAGTTATAGACAGAGAGAGAGAGAGAGAGAGAGAAAGGTCTTCCTTCCATTGGTTCACTCCCCAGATGGCTACTATGGCCAGCACTGCACTGACCCAGTGTGCTTTTTAAGTGGCTATCCTGTTGACATTTTCTTGAGTAAACTGTCTTATCCCATTGGTTAAAAATGACTCTTGGTTACATAACCCCTTTGATTGAATCCATTATCTTTCTCCTCATTTTGTTGTGTCCTATTTACACTTCTGCACTGAGCTGTTCTATCTTATTTATTAATGTGGTCTTCAGCATCTGGTAAGACTCGTCCCTGGACAAGAGCCTGCTTTTCCAGAATTGTTCTAGCTACTCATAGTTTTTCCATACGAATGTAGCATAAGTTTAGTAACAAAAATGAAAAATCCTGTTAGTCTTTTTTATGACATCATTACATTTATAGGCTCGTTTAGAGAGACTTGGATTCATTATAGCAGTCAGTCAGTCCTTCCAAAGAATACAGCCAGCTGTCCCTTTATTCAAGTCTCTTTCTGTCCCTCAGTAACCTAAGTTTTCCTCATACAGATCAGTTCCTCCATAGAGACCTTCGAAAAGGAAGGACCTTGGGAAAAATACCACCTAGGTCCCACCCTACACCAAGTCAATTACGGCTTCAGGAGGGAGCCTGGCCATGGTTTCACTGTGTTTTTTGTCAAGCCCTCAGCTGTCGCTCCCCCTCTTCATGGAGGAACGACACTAAACCCTGCCTAGGCTTCATATCCGAGTCACGGCACCATTATGTCGCTCCCCGTCTTCGTGGGGGAACGACACAGGACCCTGCGCTGTTCTTCTGTCTGCTCGGCCCTCCCCGGGTTTGCTGCTGGTTCTTCCCGGGTTGGCTACCGACCCTTCCACCTCCGTGGAAGGGCGGTTCCCCCTGTCACATTCCCCACTTCCGCGGGGGAGCGGCACACCGCCGGCCGGCTCTCTCGGGGGCTGCACAGGTGTTCCTTCAGATAGACGTTCCTGGTGCATGTTGTCTCTCTCCTCCTTTGCAGGTCCCACAGTTTATTGGTTGAACTGGAGGCAGCTGTGTAGAAGCTGTTTCCCTTCTCAGCGCCATATTGTGGGAAAGCAGATGCATAGAATAAGTCTTAATTCCAGTAACTTAGTCTAGTCCGGGTTGCTCCCCACACTCAGCCAGTGACCTTAGTGTGCAGCTGGAGATCTGATCTGTCATTAGTTGGTTTATGCTTTATTGTAGCTGCCATTTTAAGTGGATCCTTCATTCTATCTTCCAGCTGGTTGCTGTTGTTAAATAGGGTCAAAACAACAATAACAATGGAAATATGTTTCCGAAAACGCAGGCTTTGGGAGGTAAATATAAACACCTTTTTCTTCCGAAAGCTCCTAAAATGCATTCATTCTAGGGATCTGCCAAGTATCCATGACTTTTTTTTATAAAGGTTTATCTTATTTATTTGAATGATAAAGAGAGAGATAGCTTCCACCCACTGGTTCACTCCCCATAAACAGCCTTAATGGCCGAGTCTGGGCCAGCCTAAAGCCAGGAGCCAGGAACTCCAACCCGAGCTTCCACATGGGTGGCAGAGGTCCATTCCACTACTTTCCCAGGGGTTATAGCGGGGATCTGGATCAGAAGTGGAGCAGCCATGACTCACAATGGTGCTCCAGTATGGGATACCAGCATCATTGGCACCACAATGCCAACCCTTCCATAATGTTTTAAGCATATTAAGTATAGGATCATAATTACAAACAATTGCATTTTTAGGTCAGTATCTAATTAAAAATGGTACCAAGAACCATGAAAACAGAAGATTAGGACAAACTTGCAAAACGGAGACAGTTCTACAATGCCAGAATCTTGAGAGGAACTGGCACTAATTAGAAGCCAAATTGAAAACAAGCTTTGGGCTTCAGCTTTTACCTCCTCCACTGCTACCACTATCAATAACCCACCATAATGTGTTCTGTGGAATTTTCCAGTGAACTCCTCAGAGGGATCCCTGAGTCTGTCCTTGACTTTCTTCAGTCTATCCTCAACACAGCAACCAGTTAAAATAAATCGCATCACCGATACCCCAAACCCTCACGGGTTTCCCATCTCACTTTTTCTGTGAAAGCCAGGAGAGTGCTGACAGTGGCCTACAGAACGGTGACTAGCCCAGCTGAGGAGCCATGTCCTCCCACGCTGCCACCAGTTCCCTCAGCTCCAACCACACCAGCCTCCTCCCAGGCACACACCAGGCGCTACCCCAGACCCGTGTGCTTGCCGGCCCTCCCTGCAGGGGAGGCCTCTCTTGCCTCAGGTCTCCACGTGGCCCGTGCTCCCTCTCCTTCAAGTCACTGCTCAAATCCCATTTCCCACGAGGGCTTCCTGCTTTATTTGTCACCACAGAAATCACAACAATCCAGTACTGTCTCTCCCATCCCCCCCAGCAGTAGACGCTCCATTAAGGCGTGGCTTTTTGTTTCCTGGAAGTGCTGGTTCTCACCTGAAAGCAGCAATAGACGATAGACAACACCCAAACACGTGTACATGGCTAAGCTCCAAAGAAACTTCACATGCAAAAATGCACGGTTGGAACCTGTGGACCATAGTTTACTCACTGTGGGTCCAGAACAAAGGTTCACAACTCTGCTCCAAATAGGAATCACCAACCACTACTAAAAAGTAGTGCCTAGCTCCTACCGCAACCATCAGGGGTGCTAGAAGCCTCCAGGGAATTGTAACATGGGGCCGAATTTGGGAACCACTGGTCCAGAACCCTCCATTCATACCACAGTCTTCAGACCAGAAGCACCCACCTCAACTGGGAATCTTACCTGTTTTTATTTGTTTTTGGTTAAAGACAATGGATTTTGTTTTTTCTACTATTTTCGCATCTCCATTTCATTAAACTCAGGTGATTCTAGTCAAAAGCTATTAGAACTGATAGAGTTTGTTAAATGATAGCATATATATGATCAATGTATCAAAATAATCACTAGGTAAAAATAGAAATGGAAATTAAGGGAAATAGTCCACTCACACTATTTATCCTATGAAATGATTTCTATTATTTATTTATTGGTTTGAAAGGCAGAGTTAGAGAGAGAGAAACAGCTTCCCATCCTCTGGTTTGCTCCCCGAATGCCCGCAAAGGCCAGGACTGAGTCAGGCTGAAGCCAGAAGCCAGGAGTTTCTCTTGGGTCTCCTATGCGGGTGGCAAGGACCTAAGCA